CCCGCCCCCCCAACCAAGCCCCGCCTCCAGTTCCTCCCCCAAGCCCTGCCTCTGGGCGCTCACCTCTCCCTCCGAACCCCACCTCTTAGGCCCCACCTCCTGGCCCTGAGCTCCATCCCGGCCCCGCCCTCACGCCCACACCCTACCTCTTGGCCCCGCCTCCAGCCCCTCCCCGTCTCACCTTCACACTTGAGGCCCTGGCGCACTAGGCCGAAGAGCATCTCTCCGCAGTGGTCGCAGAAGGCAGGCGCTCGGTAGGAGTGCACCGTGAGGGCGTGCGGGCGGATCTGGAAGTCCTCGAAGGTGGCCGAAGCTGCAGGCAGCAGGGAGGGGCGGATGGTTGAGTCGGGACCAGCGGTGGCCATTTCACCCTCTGCATTCCCAGGTTTCACACAGCCCTCTCAACTGCAATGTTTGATCTTTCCTTCAATCATTTACTCGCATCCTACATTTCATTCGCCCTGGGTTCAAATCCCAGCTCCACCATTGGCCAAAACACCTATGTGCCTATGCCAGGGACAGGGGAGGGGGAATGGGGAATTGTTTAATGGGCACAGATTTCCAGTTTTGCAAGATGAAAACAGTTCTGGAGGTTGGTTACACAACATTGTGAATGTAATTAACACTACTGAACACTAGACTTTGAATATGGTTAAGATGGTAATTTTATGTTGCATATATTGTATCACAATTAAAAAAATTTTAATTAAAAAAACATAGATAGGGCTTCTCTGGTGGAACAGTGGTTAAGAATCCGAAAAAAAAAAAAAAAAAAAAAAAAAAAGACAAAAGACCTGAAAAAGGTAAGGGTCTGGACCATGCAGGTATCTAGGGAAGAACATGCCCAGTATCATAATAGTATCGCCTTATAGTTCGTTTTTTTTAAAATTTATTTTGATGAATGTTCCGCTTACACTTTTTTATTTCTATTTTTGAAAACTAATTAATTTATTTTAATTTTTGGCTGAGTTGGGTCTTCATTGCTGCGCGCGGGCTTTCTCTAGTTGCGGCGAGCGGGGGCTACTCTTCGTTGCAGTGCGCGGGCTTCTCATTGCAGTGACTTCTCTTTTTGCGGAGCAGGGGCTTTAGGCCCGCGGGCTCTAGTTGTGGCTCGAGGGCTCAGTTGCTCTGCAGCATGTGGGATCTTCCCGGACCAGGGCTCGAACCCGTGTCCCCTGATTTGGCAGGCGGATTCTTAACCACTGCACTTTCAGGGAAGTCCCTATCGTTCTTTTTTATGGGTTAAATGAATATATGGAAAGCTTTTTTTTTTTTTTGGCCGCGCGACGCGGCTTATGGGATTTTAGTTCCCCGACCAGGGATCGAAACGGGGCCCTCAGCAGTGAGAGCACGGAGTCTTAACCACTGAACCGTCAGGGAATTCCCAGAAAGCTCTTAAAACAGTACCTGGCTCAGAGAAAATGCTCAATAAATGTTAGCTATTATTTTAAAGTTTCATTTTTGGACTAAATCTTGTTCCTCTCCCCACCCCCATTCCCCCCCCAATTTCTGTCTAATATTAAGCTATTTTTCTTAGTATTATGCAATGGAGAGGGGACTCTGTTCTATGTGCCAAGCACTGTTTACACACGCAGGATAAAGCTCTGAACAAGAGAGTTTCACCACTCTCAGAGATCTGACATTCTTTTGAGGAGAGGGAAAAGATACATAAAACAAACAAACAAACAAACAAGGACATTTCTGACAATGGAGGAAACGGCATCTAAGCTGAGATCCAAATAACAAGAAGGTGCTAGCTATGAGAAGACAGGACAGGGTCGGGGGTGGGGGAGGACAGCAAGTGCAAAGGCCCTGAGGTGGGAGGGAGCTTGATTTCTTCAAGGGACAGAGGGCAGACAAGATGGTTGGAACAAAGAAAGTAAGAAGGGCAGTGTTAAGAGATGAATTTGGGGAACTGGCAGGGCCCAGGTCATGGACAGCCTTGAGGCCACATTGAGGAGTTTGCATTTTGTTCCGAGGGTAATGCAGAGTAAGGGGAGGATCCTGAGCAGTGGAGTGTCATGAGCTGACTTAGGTGCTACTACAATAGTCTAGGCAGGAGGTGATGGCAGCTTGGATCAGTGGAGGGAGGAAAGAAATAGGTTCAGGATGGGTGAGACCAGTAGGTTTGAGGATGGACCAAGTGAAGGGGTGAGAGAAAAAGAGGAGCCAGGGATGGCCCAAAGTTTGGGGCATGAGCACCTGGGTGAATGGTGATACCCTTCACCAAGCTGGAGAATACTGTGGGAAGAGCAGGTTTAGAAGGGCGAAATCAAGATTTCTGTCTTGGACAGGCTGTATCTGAGAGGCCTGGAGCTGCCGAGTAAAAGCGTCAGGGAGACAGCTGCACGAACAAGACTTGGGTTTGGGGAGAGACCAGGATGAAGATAAAAATCCAAGGGCGGCAAAAGCCTGTATGAGGGACGTAAATCCAAACTTCTTCTTTTTTTAATGATTTATGCTCATTATTTATTAATTTATTTATAATTAATTTTTTGGCTGCGTTGGGTCTTCGTTGCTGCACGTGGGCTTCCTCTAGTTGAGGCGAGAGGGGGCTACTCTTTGTTGCGGTGCGCAGGCTTCTCATTGCGGTGGCTTCCTTGTTGTGGAGCACGGGCTCTAGGCGCCCAGGTTTCAGTAGTTGCGGCACGTGGGCTCAGTAGTTATGGCTCGTGGGTTCTAGAGCGCAGTCTCAGTAGTTGTGACGCACGGGCTTAGTTGCTCTGCGGCATGTGGGATCTTCCCGGACCAGGGATCGAACCGGTGTCCCCTGCACTGGCAGGAGGATTCTTAACCACTGCGCCACCAGGGAAGTCCCGTTAATCCAAACTTCTAATTGTCATCCATCCAACCATCCAATAAATTTTACGGAGCATTGCAGTACTCCCGGTGGGGGTGGGGGGCAGGGGAGGACATACAGCCATGAGTAAGGTACCTCTTACCCCCCTACCCCACCCTCCTGAAGGAACCAAGGGCTAAAGAGTCCTCTAAGTGCTGAGAGCTTGCCCATCCTTCAAATGGGAATGGCCAGTGGGTGGACTAGACTTTGGCTGAAAATACAGGTACCCGGGTTTCATCTCACGCTGCAGAGTCTGATTTAATTTAGCATTTCATTGGGAGGAGGCACAGGCAGCAAAACATTTTTAACTTTACATCAAAGTGTAACGTAGGTCTAGGAAAGGACATATCAGAAATGCACAGCTCAATGAATTGTCAAACTGTACACGCCCATGTCACCAGCATCCTGATGGATAAATGGAAGTTTAAACCATTGTGCCCCCGCACCCAACTCCAGCTGCCAAAAAGGTACCCACTCTCTTGGCTTCTAACAAAATAGCGTAATTGTCTTTGTGCTTCGTAAATGGAATGATACAATATGTAGTCTGATGTCTAGCTTCTGTCCCTCAGCATTGGTGTGAGATTCATCCGCTTTGCCGTGGATGGTTTATGTTCAGTGCGGTGCGAATTCCACAAAGTGCAGGCACCACACCTACCCATTCCGTAGCGGTAGTTTGTAAAAAGCTCCCTCGGTGATTCTAATTTGCAGCCAAGGCTTAGAACCGCTGGTCCCTAACTTTAAGAACTAAGTTTCTGGGTCCACCTCCCCTCCCACTCCTCCAGATGCCCCGCCCCCGCTCGAGGCTCCGCCCCTAGGCCTGCCTCGGCCTCTCACCCGACAGTACCACCTCCACCAGGTCGCCCTCCTGGATGTCTCCGGCAGAGCGCACCAACTGCAGGAGGTTGGCCGACGTGGGGTCATGTTTGAAGAGCAGGATCTTGTCGTAAAGGCCATAGAAGCCACACTCGGGGAACTGAGGGGCGGGAGAGGGAGGTGGTGATGAAAAAGCTCAAAGCAGCGGTCTGGAACCCTCCCAGGGCAGGGCCGGCTGTTTCCCCCGGAAACTCAGAGACCCCGCAGCCCCTCGCTTCCTGCCCGCTCCCTCCCAAGCCCAGCTCGAGCTGAGCCGGGCAGGGTGCCAGGGCCCCAGGTGTGCTGGGAGCGAGCGCTGGCGAGAGTTTGAGAGAGTGGCTGTGGGAGCGTGGGCACCTAGAATCTTCTGGAGATGGAGGGGGGTAGGGCTGAGTGAGCACCCCTTCCCTTATCTCCCCACCACCTCCCGCTCCCCCTCACCCACAGCTTCCTTCCTGGAACTATTGTTGTCCCTGTTACCTGGCTCCAGGCCCAGCACTGGGGGCTGGGCGATCTGGAAGGAGGGGATTTAGGACTCCTAGTTTTGTGGGGAGGGGGGTGTGGAAAGGCTAGGGGTCAAGGGAGTTGGAAACTGGCACAGTGCCCCCCACCCAATGCCTCAAGGACCCAGGTGTCCCGGTCCCTAGCTTGGGGAGGTGGGGCAGGAAATGAAACCTGGTAGAACAGAAAGTGAAACCGCCCAGGTGGAGCCACTGGAAGGAAGGAAAGGGGCCCTGCCACACCTGGACGGGGTGGGGTGGGGGGCAGAAAATAAAACTGCGGTGAGGCCTGAGGGGGTAGGCTGAGGACTTGAGCATCGGATAAAGAACTTCACCCAGGGGACAATCATGCCCTCTCCCCAGCCTGTTTTCCCAAGGAGCAGGCTGAGTGTGTGAGCTGGGCCTGCTAGTTTGGGGGTTTGGTGTAGGTGGCAAAGGAAGCTCTATCTGTTCTTGTTGCTGGGAGAGGGTCCACAGGTGGCCAGGACTGCCAGGGTCCTGGCTGCCTTGGAGGTCTTTCTCTAAGCTTCAGTTTCCTTGTCTGTAAAATGGGGGAGTTGGCCCAGTTCTTAATGTTTTGTCTGCAGCCCAAAGAATTCATTGCCAGGAATCTAAGAAGATTCTACAATTTGGGTATTTTGGGAATCCAGCATGCTCACATTATAGGATTATACATTCTAGATTCCAACAAATTATCATGATAAGTTTTAGGATTTTAATAACCTAGAGTAGTAGTAGTCTAATATTTTAAAGTTCTAGGAATCTGCCAAACTAGGATTCTAATATTTAAATATCTTAGCACGAAAGGATTTCAACGACCCAGCATTCCAGAATTCTAACATTTTTATGCTCTAGGAGTCTAACAACGATGGAATCAAATATTCCAACATTTTAATGTTTCAGTATTTCAACAATCTCGGGTTCTAATGTTTGAACACTTTAATATCAGAGGAGTTCAGTTACCTAGCAGTTGCATATTCCAACAATTTAGAATTCTAACATTTTAACACGTTTACAGTCCAAAATTCCAACAACAGAGTAGCCCACTATTCCAATTTTTTTTTTTATTCTAACTTTTAACATTCTAGAATCCAAGCATTGCATCCCACCTGATTTCCCCTTGCCATGCTCCCCCAGGCCCCAACCCCAGTGACCCTCGTGTCCAAAGCGAAGAGTGGGGTGGGATTGGGGAAGGTTCGTTTTAACAGACTAGCATTAGAGCTGGGGGATGGGGGGAACACTGATCAGGAGAGGGGACAGACACCTCAGAGCCTCTGGGTTGTGAAGAGGCACACCTGCCCCTCCACACACACTCAAGCCTGGGGGAGGGCAGAGATTGGACTCTGAGACCTCACTTGCCCCTGGCAGCTACTGCAGGCACCCGCACCCACACATGTCACTTGATCGCCACGGCCAGCCTGGCTTCAATTTCTACTGTTTCCACCAAATGGGAGGCCGGGGATAGGCCTGGACACGGAGGTCCCCCGACGTCTGCTGCTCCCACCTGCCCCTTCCTCTCGGCTCCTACACCTCACCCGTCCCTCCCTTCCTCCATGCTGTCTGCAGCAAACAACATCCAGGGACATGCAATTTGGGGAGGCCTCCTGGGGCACTCCACCCCTGACCAGGCCTCTCTCAAAGGAGTAGTGGGGTGAGGAGGCAACTGGGGGCCAATGCCCCACCCCCACCCCTCAGTCGCCCAAGACTTATCCCCCTTCTCTCCCTCTTCCTTATATACTGGGCAGGAGATCGCCTCTGCCAGCACCTCCCCACTCTTCCAGACCTCTCCTCAAGCTAGATGGGGGGAACCCTGTGCCCTCACCTTCTGGTCAACGATGGAGCAAGCCAGCTGCTTCACGTGGGCCAGCTCGGAGGCGGTGGGCAACAGCACGAACTCGCGGGTCAGCCCGATCTGGATGTGGAAGGACACCCCCGAGGCCGGCGCCGGGACATGGGGCAGCAGCGGTGGCGGAGCCTGCAGTTCCAAGCTGCCAGAGTGTGGAGGAGACCCCGGCCCGGGAGAGCCCGGGAGCCCGGCGGGATGGGAGGGTGCGGCGGCCATAGGGCGAGGCCCGGGACCCGCCGCCCGGCGCCCACCCGGGATCCGGCTGCAGGAGCCTGAGCAGGGAGGCTCAGGTCCCTGGATCCGAGGTATCTTGTTAGCTTGTGGTAGGAGCGCGGGGATCCCGGGGATCCGAGAAGAGAATCCTGGCAGGTTGAGGGAACTCGAGGAGGTGGGACCCTGGGAAGTTAGAGAAAAGGAATCTCGTGGATCAGACGCCCGCCCGGAGATTAAGGGATCACAGACGATCAGAAAGGAGAAATCTAATGGTTTGGGCGGCCCAGCGATTGGGAGATTCCAAGAAATCAAAAAAGAAAATCTAGTAGGCCGGGGTCACAGGGATCAGAAGAGCCCAGGATCCAAAGGCTCCCTGGAGAAAGAAGGGATTGGAAAAGGAGCAGGTGGGGCCAAGAATCCAGCGGCTCTAAGAAGAGGATCCATATAAGAAGGGAGCTCGAGGGATTCACCAGATCTTGGGGTGGAGAGCAGGAGTCTCTGAGTCGGGGATCGAATGGATCCCAGGGATCCGACGGCGGGCCTGGGAATGGGCAGAGGGATTCCGAGGGCTGGGGTGCTAAGGCGGGAATCTCACGGGTCTCGGAAGTTGGAGAAAAATTCGGTCGGGGGCCGCGGAGAAGGGGGTGTTACCGGCGGCAGTGGGGTGGCGGGGATGTGGGGATATATGTATACATATAGCTGATTCACTTTGTTGTACAGCAGAAACTAACACAACATTGTAAAGCAATTATACTCCAATAAGGATGTTAAAAAAACAAACAAAGTGGGGTGGCGGGGGGTGGGAGGGAAGGGAGGGTCGTCCGGCGCCGGGCGCCGGTGGCTCTTTTTCCCACTCCAAAGTTTAATTCGGAGGCTGCGGCCCAGGAGGAAGTGTCCGGAGTGACAGTTCAGTCGGCCAATCGGTGCCGGCTTCGGTGACGTCGAGGGGGCGTGGCCTGATGAGGGCCTGCGGGCGGAAGAGGAGGGCGGGCTTAGCGCCTCCGAGTTGGGGCGGCACCTCCCGCTCCCGGGTCTGGGGACCTGGGGTGGGAGATGCGGGGAAGGGAGGCGAGACTGATTCCTTCCCACCACACACCCAAGTCTGGAAAACTGACTTTTCCCTGAGCTGGAGAGTGAGGGTCAAGCCACCCTCACGCCCACCACAGGTCGCGAGGCCGGGGCTGAGGAGGCGTCTGGCCCTTTAAGGAAGGGGGCCGTCTCGCCTGGCCTGCATCCGGCGCCCACCGCTGGGGAAAGGGTGGGAGGCGGTGTCAGGACTGGCCCGCTCTCCGGGCCGGGCCTGCCTCTTCCCAGGGCGTCACCACGCCCGCCCCCTCCCCCCACTCCCGAGCCCATTACACAGGTGGGAAGACCGAGAGACCTCCAGATGGGCAGAGGTCCTTGCCTCAGGTCTGTCTCCAGCGACCTTGGCCAAAGTGCCAGGAGCAAACTGCAGGGGCCAGGGCTGGGTTACCCGCGCACAGAGAGAGTCAGGCACAGGGCAGGTGGAGAAGGGATGTAGTTTCCTTCCATCAGCTCCCCACTCCACCCCAGCGTTTAGGAGGGTGAAGAGCCAAAGAAAAGCCTGGGGGTGGCTGGAAGGACCATAGCGACGAGGGAGGACCACACCACTTCATAGATGGAGAACACATAGTTCTCCTGGGGAAGTGTGCACATGTCTGTCTCTGTGTGACTTTAGGTTGGTGACCTCCCCCTCTGAGCCTGTTTCTCTTTTAGATGGGACAATAATAGGACTGACCCCAGAGGGTCTTTGTGGGGATTAATGAGATGGTTTAAGGGTGCCTACAACACAGCAGAAGCTCAGTAATGGTGACTGTGGCTATAATGCGCTGAGATAAAGGGGTGGGCATCTCAGGCACTCAGGTGTTTGTGGGTGGGTTTGTTCATTTAGTCTTTCAGCAAGTATGGATTGAGGCCCTAATATGTGCCAGGCCTGTCATAAAACACCTCTTCCAGGACCAGTTCCAACTTGATTTCTCCTCCCCAGCTAATAATGAGTGGCTACCATTTAGTTTACATACAGGAAGCTGAACCCTCAGAGAGGCAAAATGACTTGTCCAAGATTGCCAAGCGAGTAGCTACCACCCACTGGCTTCATTGAGGGGCCAAGGCCTGGCTGAGCCCCAGAGGCATCCCAATAGAGATGGGCCACCGCCACCTAGGCTCCCGACCAGCAGGGCTGGGTGGGGGGGATGAGGAACTCACGATGAGCCCACATTCCTGGTAAAGGGCTGTTGGGGGTAGCTGAGGTCGGCACAGTAGCGAATCTGTCACCACATCCGGGGGCTGGCTGGGGCTGGGGAAGGAAGTCTGAGGCTGGAGCGAAACCCTAAACCACCACCTGGGGAAGCTGCACAGAGCCCAGAGGGATGAGGGAGCAATGAGGCCGCATGGTACCCATAGCTGGGCACCTGTCAGCCTCACCTGATGGCCATCCGCCCACCTGTGCCCTTTGTCCAGACCAGCAGACGACCACCATGGTGAAATTCTAACATGAGTGTGCACTTCTCAGGCCTTCCTCCTTCCTCAAGTGTTCATGGGGCCCTGACAGGAGCCAGGCCCTGTTCTGGGCACTGGGGTGCAGCCCTTGATAAGCCAGGAGGTGGGCATTACTGAAAGGCTCACTTTACAGGGGAGGTTGAGGCCCAGGGAGGTGCCAGGACTTGCCCAAGGACCACTGGCTGGTAGGCAAAGAGGCCTCATAGCAAGCAGAGGGAGTCACAAGGGACTGGATACAAATTCTGATTTGTATCCTGCTGGGCCCTGAGCAAGCTCCTCGAGCCCCTGCCTCCATCTCTCGTCCTTTGTAACGTGTGCATAATGCTCCACTCCCCTTTTTGAGGTTGTGGGGACCTAGTGAAATGGCACGTGAAGAGCTCTGAGGGCACAGCCGACTACTGTGATTCAGCCACCGCAGAGAAGGGAGAAGGGAATGGCATGTCCCAGGGTCTCCCTTCCTTCCCACTCCATGTAGGCCCAGGCGTGGGGCAGGGAGAGAAGGGGGGCGTTCAGTACTTTGGATTAGCACTTTGGCCTCACTACCAACCATCACGCAGGGGGCGGGGGGGATGAGGAGCTGAACCGTCACATCGTTTCATCTGCTAGTCAGGGCTCTGCTGTAGCCCCTGGGGAGGGAGCGCTTAGGGACAGAAAGGAGGGGCACAGGGAGATTCGGTCCTTGCCCCCACTTCCGTCCCGCCACCCACACCCCACCCAAGATCTGGGTCCCTCTCTGCACCCCCGCCCTACCATGAAACCCCAACCCATCACATCCCCTCGCCAAGCTCCACCCACCCCTGGCAGAGCCAGTTACTCCTCCCCGCGAGTCCCTGGTCCCCTCAGTAGTCAGCACCGCCGCCCATCTTACTCCAAAGGGTTTATTGAGACAAGGTTCACAGGCAAGACCAGGGCAGAGGGGATGGGGCTTATAAACAGGAACCTGGAAGGGGGCCTGAGGGCACAGGGTGGAACCCAAAAACAAGAGTGAAATAAATAGAGGAAGAGAGTGGAGGGTCAGGAGAGGAGACAGACAGACTATCACACAGTGATAACAACATGGGTGGGGGTGGGGTTCCATTAAAATCCCATTTATTTATACAGATATACAGGGAGTTACGGGGGACCCGGGGGACCCCACTCCACCCTCCGTGCGCCACAGAGGGGAAAGAGAAGGCCACCTCTCCCCATGGGTGACCCCCACGGGGGTTTGGGGGGCTGCCCTTGGAGGAGTGTTGGGGGGAGGTAGGGGCGGGCACCTCCCCCGAGGGCATCACCAGCTCCCCAGGCAGTTACTGGCCCTGGCAGCGTTGGGTAGTGTCTGGAAAGCTGTGCTGAGGGAACTGGAGGGGAGGGGGTTTACTGGGCGCGCTCCGGGGTGGGCCAGGCCCGCACCTCCACGGAGGACAGCCCAGCCTGGCTCCAGGGCCCCGGCAGACCCAGAGCAGACCCAGAGCAGGGGCATCAGGGGCTCCTCCCGGCACAGCTCCCACCCGGGTCCAGGAAGGTGGAAAAGAGGGGTCAGGGGTTCAAAGAGAGAACCTGGCACCTTCTGGCGTCTTGGAAAAGCTAATCCCTAAGGACACCCAGACCTGGCTGTACAGCCCCTGAGAAGGCAGCTCAGAGACCTGGAGTGGGTGTCAGGGTGAAGAGAAAATTCCCAGAGACCATCCTGGAGGGCGATTCCTGAAGGAGGCCACGCCCCGGCGGGATTCCCGGGGCTGAGGGGAGGGCCTCCTGGGGAAAGGGCCAGTTAGCACCACCAGGCTCCAAGGCAGGCAGGAAGAAGCCAGGCCTTGGGGCCTCCAGACCAAGGCTGGAGTCACCTATGGGGGACAGAAGGGAGAGGAGACTGGACCACGACCTCCAGGGTGCAAGAGGCCAGGCAGCTCCAGCCCCTCTAGGCCCCAGCCCCTCCTCTGAATGCCCAGGGGCTACCTTGGCAATTCTTACAGGGCATCCCGACTAGGATTTCGGGTCTTGGCACCCTCTGGAAATGCCAGGCGAAGAGGTGTTTGTGAGGGCCCCATCGGGAGTGAGGACGCAGGGGGCTTCTGACCTCCCAAGCCAAGCCCTCCCATCTGGCCCCTCACCTCAGTCCCACCTGCCCAGCCCCGCTCCCCAGCCAGCGTGGCAGCCTGGGCGGGGCCAGGTGGGCATCATACGAAGACCTTGGCCAGGGCGTCGGCACCCGCGCTGGCGATGAGGGCCTTGCTGGGGTGGCAGGCAACAGCATGGATGGCCTCCTCGTGCTTCTTGCGGTGGGCCGTGATCTCCTGAACGCATGTCTTATTGTCCAGGCTCCACAGACGCAGGGAGCAGTCGTGGCCTGTGCAGATGTGGGAGCAGTCGTGGCCGTCACCCAGCAGCTCCGGGTCCCCCTGCCTCCTTGCCCAGACCTGCTCCCCGAACCTGGCCTCATCCGAAGGCCTGGGAGTTGGGTGGGGCTCGCTCCTCTGCCCAGTTGCCTCCAGATGCCCAGTGTGAAGGACTGCCCTTCTGACCAGCCTATCATCCAGCCATCTAGGCACCGAGTGTTCACTGAGCACCTACTGTGTCCTGCACTCGGGGGCGTGGTGAACAAAACAGGCAAATCTCCCTGCCCCTGTGGTGCTGCGTCCCAGTGTGTGAGAGACAGTAAACAAGAGAACAGGATAAACGAGGCCAGGTGGTCACAAGTGCTGTGAGCACAAGTCAGTCAGTGTGAGGACCGTGTGGTCCAGTGGGTAGGGCAGGGCGAAGAACCTTCCAGGCAGCGGGGACAGCCAGGGGCAGGTCCTGAAGACTGACAGCCTGAGCAGGCAGGCGGGGGGTGGGGGGGAGTAGACTGCGCCAGGCCTTGGGGCCATGAGCCTCTGCAGGGAGACTGCTGGACTTAGGCGTTACCGGGATCTGGTGGGCTGCGGTGGAGGGACCTGGGCCCTGTACTGAGTTTTTGCCTGGGCCTGATCTCACTGACTGTTCCCTCAACCGGCGTCCTCCCTGGAGACAGCTGTAGCACCGTCCTGGGCCACCCCCACCCTCCACTGCCACTGCTCACGCCTGTGTGTGCACTCGCTCGCTGACACCCCGGGGCAGGCTCGGTCTGGTCAGGCCTCCATAACCGCCAGCGCATACCCTTCACCCTCTGGGGAGCTTCAGCCCCTTCTCCATCTGCCCAAGTCCCAGCCCATCCCACTGAGGCGCAGCCCCACACTCACTGGGGCTCAGTGCCTTTATCCACAGACAGCAGGTGCACCAAATGCTAAAATTTCTCGTGGGGACCGAGAGTCAGATAAACCTGAACTTCAGTTCCTGCAACGCAGGGGCCTGTGACCAAGTGAAATAACTTCTCTAGCCCCAGTCACCACATCCGTGGAGTGGGAATAACAGTACCAACCTCATTCAAATCCAATGAGATGATGTAGGAGAGGGCCTACAGTGGGCTCCGGCGCACAGTGCTTTGCTGTCCCCACCCTTGTGACCACTGTCATTCCAGCCACGGAGGGGCTCCAAGCCCCTGCTCGGACAGCACTCCCACCAGCTCCCCACCCCACTCCGGGAGCCCCCGGAGTACTCCCTCGGGACCAGAGCCTGGGTCTCTTCCTCTTCCTTTCCCCAGCCTGCCAGAAAAGGCACGTGCCCTCACTCCTTAGGAGCCAGGAGGCTCCCGACTTACTTCCTGACATCAGGAATACGCCATTGGGGTCCACGGCTAGGCAGGTGACTGCATCCAGGTGGGCAACCATGGAGTGCACGGATCTCCCTGAAGGGAGAGAGAGGGTGGGCAGCAGGTTACTTTCCACTGTGCGCCTTGCTTGGGAAGGTGAAGGGGCTAGAAGGGACACTGAGCCTTCAACGTGGACACCAGGAGGTCTGCCATCTGAGCCTGGTCGACCCCTGCTCCCCCGGAGCACACGTGAAGGGGGGCCAGGAAGGTTGAGCCTCACCTGTCCGGTTGTCCAGGAAGCGGATGCCTCTGTCGTCATGGGCGGTGATGGTGAGGGGCTGGCTTGGATGACTCACCACCTGGTTGATCTGGGTTGGGCCTAACAGGAAAAGGAGGGAGAGGGGAAGAGGTCAAGGGTGGGAGGCAATCAGGGAGACCGGGACAGAGATAAGAGGAGAACCACCATCCCATGCCCATCCTCTGCTTAGACAGCGAGCAGGGCTGGGCACTCCGGGCGCTCCCTCCTGGGCCCCGTGCTTCATCTGTGCAATGGACACTGCATGGCCTTGGGGCGAGGAGGAGGGATGACAAACACGAGGCCGGTCCTTCTACTCCACCAAGTGGCCCATGGGCGAGTCCCTCGTGATGTCTCTCCAGTCAGCCCTCCCGAGCACCCTGTGCCGTCCATAATGGCAGTGACCGGGACCTGGTCTCCGTCCCTCTCAGAACCCCCAAGGGGGCAGGGCAGCCACTTTCCATTGACTGGGCAGCAGGTCACCAAA